TATTCCATTGAAATTGTTGTGTGCTGCCGCGGCTAGATGTCTACCCGAGCAGCCATCTTGGATCCTCCTGTATGTTTTTAGTTATTGTTTAAAAAAAAATTAGGTTTTATTGATTTCAGAGAAAGAGAAGAGAAACATCCATGAAAGAGAATCATCCATTGGATGCCTCCTGCATGCCCCCTACTGTGGATCGAGCTCACAGCCTGGGCATGTGCCCTGACTGGGAATTGAATTGTCACCTCTTGGTTCTGGGTTGATGCTTAGTCACTGACCCACACTGGTTTGAGCTACTTGGATATTTTTTATTTTTTATTTTTATTTAAAAATATTTTTATTGCTTTCACAGAGAAAGGGAGAAGAAGAAATAGAAACATCAGTGATGAGAGAGAATCATTGATTGGCTGCCTCCTGCATGGCCCCCACTGGGGATCAAGCCTACAACCTAGGCACGTGCCTTGACCAGAAATTGAATCGTTGACGTTCATATGTCAATGCTTAACCACTATTTTAGGCATTTTTTAGGGATTACTCTAAGTATTACATTGTACAGTCTAACTTATCATAGTCTACTGGTATTGATGTCTACTTACATTTGCTTTTAAATAAGGCATCTTAATTGCCCCCTATGGGTCCAATTTTTTTTGGGGGGTGGAGGGTGGGGTGGGGTTCTTGCTTATACTTCATTTCTTCTCAACCTAAAAAAAAATTCCTATGGAAGGACTGAGTCAAGCCTGCCATTATAGAACATAGGTATTAATTTTCATTTCATATGACTAAATTAGCTTTGCTTTTGGTGGTAACTATTTTGAGTTTGTGTGTGTATATCTGTTAAAAAAAAACTTAGTGTTTTTTGTTTTTTTATTGTTTAAAGTATTACATGACTCCTTTTTTCCCTGACTAACCCCTTCCCTCCCCCCCCCCCCGCCACTCCCACCCGTGAGGGTGAGCCCCTATTGCCACAGTGTCTGTGTCCATTGGTCATGCTAATATGCATGAGTCCAAGTCTTTAGGTTGATCTCTAACCACCCCCTCCCCTTCCTACTCTCTGAGGTTGGCGGTCTGCTCAGTGCCACCTTGTCTCTGGATCCATTTTTGTTCATCAGTTTATGTTGATCATTATATCCCATGTACACATGAGATCATGTGATATTTATCTTTCTCTGGCCGACTTATTTCGCTTAGCATAATGTTCTGCAGTTCCATCCTGTTGCAAATAGTAAAAATTCCTTCTTTTTTATAGCAGCACTAGAGGCTCGGTGCAAGAAATTCATGCATAGATAGGGTCAGGCCGGCAATCAGGTCCAGCCCAGGCCTTCCTTCCCCTGGCTGCTGGTCGCTGGCTGGGGCATTCCTTCGTTCCATGCTACCCCCTGGTGGTCAGCACATGTCAAAGCAAGTGGTCAAACTCCTGATTGGTTGAACTCCCAAGGGGATAATTTTCATATTAGCCTTTTATTATATAGGATAGTATTCCATTGTGTAGCTGTACCACAGTTTTTTAATCTGCTTGTCTGCTAATGGGCACTTAGGCTATTTCCAAATCTTAGCTATTGTAAGTTGTGCTGCTATGAACATAGGGGTGCATATATCTATTCTGATTGGTGTTTCTGGTTTCTTGGGATATGGTCTTAGAAGTGGGATTACTGAGTCAAATGGGAATTTGATTTTTAGCTTTTTGAGGAAACTCCATACTATTTTCCATAGTAGCTGCACCAAACTGCATTCCCGCCAGCAGTGCAGGAGAGTTCTTTTTTCTCCACATCCTTACCATCACTTGTCCTTTGTTGATTTGTTAATGATAGCCATTCTGACCAGTGTGAGATGGTACCTCATTGTTGTTTTGATTTGCATATCTTGGATGATTAGAAAAAAACTTTGTTTTTTTAGAGCAGTTTTTCCTCCCAATATATTTATTGATTTTTTACAGAGAGGGAAAGAGAGAAACATCAATGAGAGAGAAACATTGACCAGCTGCCTCCTGCACACCCCCTACTGCACACCCACAACCCTTGACCGGAATCAAACCAGGGACCTTTCAGTCCACAGACCAATGCTCCATCCACTGAGCCAAACCGGTATTGGCTAGAGCAGTTTTAAACTTTGTGTGTGTGTGTGTGTGTGTGTGTGTGTGTGTGTGTGTGTGTGTGTGTTTACAGCAAATTGAGAGGAAGGTACAGGGATTTCCCATATACCTTTTGCACTCACATATGCAGAGCCTCCTTCTCATCAACATTCCTCACCAGAGGGAACATTTGTTCAAGAACCTACACTTACTCATCATAATCACACAAAGTCCATAGTTTACTTTAGGGTGTATTCTTGGTTTTATACATTATGTGGATTTAAAGTGTATAATTTCATATATTTATCATTATAATGTCATACGGAGTATTTTCACTGCCCCAAATTTCTCTATACTGTACCTATTCATCCCTTCCTATACTCCCAAACCCTAAATACCACTGATTTTTCTGTCTCCATAGTTTTGCCTCTTCCAAAATATCAGAGAATTGGACTCATGCAACTTATAGATTTTTATTTTATTTTGTTTTTTCTTAGTTTATAGCCTTTTGGATTTGTTTTTTTTTAAATGTAGTAATAAGCATTAATTTTCTTCCATATCTTTTTAGGCTTGCCAGTTCATTTTTTCTTAGAACTGAATAATATAGTCCATTGTCTGGATGTAACATTGTTTGTCCATTTACCTTCTGAAAAATGTGTTGATTGGCAATTATGAATAAAACTGCTATAAACATGTTTTTCTTTGGTCATACATTTTCAGTTCCTTTGAGTAAATACCAAGGACTATAATTACTAGATTATATGATAAGGCTATGTTTGATTTTTTTTTTTTAAATAAACTGCTTAACTGTTTTTCAAAGTGGTTGTATGTACCATTTTGCATTCCTACCACAATAAATGAGAGTTTTTGTTGCTGCACATCTTCATCATCGTTTGGTTTTGTCAATATTCTGAATTTTGGATGTCTAATAGGTATGCAGTGGTTATGTCATTGTTATTTTTATAAATTGAGTTCTGTTACTCTTTTTTTTTTTTTTAAACCAGCTATTTTCTGACAATGTACCAGTATTCTTTTGTTCAGTTTTGAATGCCATCTGATTGAAGTAGTCTTGGAGTATTATAAAAAAATCTTAGGGTGGAGGAAAGTTTATTAGATGGAAGAGTTGAAAGCATGACAGTGCTAGTTGCTTTTTTTACACCCCACTCCAAGTTTCTAGTATGCATCTTTTCTAGTTTCGTGGCTACCACTTTGCCCTTGATAGTTATGCAGGGTCTCCCTTTCCTTTGCCAATCTCTTAATCATTGGTGTTCCTACTATCCAGTTCTTGTTCTCATATCTTCTGGTTATGCTAGTTGACATTAAGTGATTTTGTTCATTATCATAACTTCAGATTTATTATTCCTCAGAGCTTTTGTTCTCATAGTTTTTGTATGTATGATTATTTACACTGCTTATTCTGTATTTCCCCACTGTTTTCTACCTGGAAAATTCTATTAGTCTTTCAAGGCTAGCTTTCCATTTAATTTCAGATGTACTTTCAGTTATCCAGTTACCTGTCCCCTCCTGCCCCTGAGTTTTCAATCTAAGTTAGGAGCAACCTATGTTCCCTTAATTGTATGCATACTATCCTCCCCATGCTTACTGTGACATAACTATTGGTTACTTGTTTGCTATCTCCCTAGACAGTTCTGTGAGGGCAAGGGCTATAGTTTCTAAATACTGTTCTTCCCAGGGCTTAGCAAAGTGCTTAGCATTGGTGAATATTTGAATAAGTTATCAATTATGTGAGCAACTATGTATGTATTATCACAGAAGAGACTGGTCCTAATATTAATAAACCTTAAAAGACTGTTTAACCTTACTAGACATTAAAGAAGTGAAAGCTAAGTAATAAGGCACTGCTTTCAAGAAGTAGTATAGTATAGTGGCTAACGGATGAATTCTGGAGCAAGAAGGCTGTCTTGGTTTGAACATAACTTCTCCATAATTCTGCTACTTGCTGAATTAAGAATAAGACAGCAACTTACATATTGGTGATAGAATTTGAAGCGTATTGTTTTTTCTGGAAGGCAGCTTTGTTTTATATAATGAAGAATTGCCTATTCTTTATTTTCTAATAACTTCATTTTAAATAATTTCTTAATAAAACTTGAAATTCAGACTCAAGTTTCAGATACTTAAGATAACTTGCGCCGAGACCGGTTTGGCTCAATGGATAGAGCATCGGCTTGGGGACTGAAGGGTCCCGGGTTCGATTCCGGTCAAGGGCATGTACCTTGGTTGTGGGCATATCCCCAGTAAGGGGTGTGCAAGAGGCAGCTGATCGATGACTCTCTCATCGATGTTTCTAGCTTTCTATCTCTCTCCCTTCCTCTCTGTACAAAATCAATAAAATAAAATTTAAAAAGATAACTTGCAATAAAAACCTGGTGAGAATGAAATGGTTAAATGTATTGAATGTGATTCAGCAATTAAAATATTTAAATGGCATGGGTAAAGCTTATGAAGCAATAGGCTGGATAGCAAAGGTAAGACATCTTAACTATGTCTTTAAAAATATTTTAAGAAGGAAATGTTAATATGTTACCTTATGATTGCTTTTGGGTTGCTCTGTTAGGCTAATTTTTATTTTTGAAATGGGTTAACAAGTGACATGCTGACATTAATTGCTGACATTAAAATGAGGTTCTTTGGATGTCTTATATTTTTAGTAAGTTGCCTTGTCATTTATATTTTTATTACAAAGTCAATTCTTACATTTAAAAAGTTCATTTAGTTTTCTTATGTATTACTTCTTTTCATTTACATTTTAACATAACACTTTCAGATCTTTTTGTGTGTGTGTTTTCATCCTTACAATTTACTAATAGTGCCTACTTTTCTAGAAATCATTTTTCAAATGTGTAAGTTATTGTATAATCTTGGTGCTGTCAGTATGGTTTGGTTTAGGCTTTTTCTTTTTCTCTTTTATCTGCAGCAACTGGAACAGATCCAGAAGGAGCTAAGTGTTTTGGAAGAGGATATTAAAAGAGTGGAAGTAAGATATCAAGAATTTCTCTTGTTTCAATTTCATGAAATGGCAATGTTTCAATTTCATGAAATGGTCACTTTTCCTTTAAATTGCTGCATTAAACTTATGGGATTGGACTCCATTATATAAAAAATAACAGATAGATGTTACTTTAATTTTAATTGAAAGTGCATTTTTTTATAGAAAAAGCATCACTTTTTATGATAAATGTATTCTAAATTTGTTTTTACTGCTTTTTATTACTGTATTTATTTTGGGGCAGGTTGAAAAATTATTCAACTTTATTGTGCGTCTTCATATTAATTTAAATCAACTTCCACAAAACCCTCAATTATTAACGTTAAAAGATGTCACAATTCCATCCTTTTACTAAGTAAATATTTTTTATATGTATTTACTGTGCCTTTCTAGGACTAGTATTAACTTAAAAAAAGATATGAGAATATATTACCAATAATCTAAGAATGTATAGTATGATAGTTTACTTATAGAAACCCATGGGAGGATCTCTGAGAGGTTCATTATCTTTACCTATATTTAAATGTACTATATGCTTTTAATTATTCACAGGTGTTTTACTTTCCTATTGTTAATTGACCTTGAGTTGTACTATTGTGGAATTTCAGTGTCCATGCACATTCTTAACCTATATTGATGTCCCTTGCTTGGATACATGATTGAACTGAGTTTGGATCAGTCAGAAAAAATTCTGCTTGACTATGGATCTTTAGTGGCATTTTAAAATTTGCTACATTTTCATGAATCAAAATATAGGATATAAAAAGGAAGCTAGGTTGGTACGATTCAGAGGCATAATTTATGCAATATATTTGATTAGGGGCCCTTCTGTGTTAATGATCAACACTTAAGAGTTTAAGTCTTTATTAAACAAAGCTTAATTGAGTCAAGAGAAGTGTTACTTTTTTTAATGAAGAAGAGACTGACACATTCTGTTGTTTTGTACATCAGAGAATTGAACCTAATGATCCTGTTACCATACTGGCATATTTATCTTAAAATTATCTGTAGATACTCACCTGGATCAGTGGTTAGCCAGTTCACTGTTCACATAATATACTGCACATCTCATTTAAAATATTGTTGACTCTTGAATACAGATTTGAACAGGGCAGATTCACTCATATGTAGGGTTTTCTTTTCAATAAATACTATAAATGTCTTTTCTTTTCCTTGTGATTTTCTTAATAACAGTTTCTTTTCTCTAGCTTACTTCATTGTAAGACTACAGTATATAATACATATAATACACAAAATATGTGTTAAATGTTTATGTTAAGAGTTAGGCTTCTGGTCACTAGTAGACCATTATTAGTGACATTTTTAAGGAGTCAAAAGTTATAGCAGTTATATAGAGTGCTTGAGGGTTGATACCCCTAAACCCCATGTTATTTAAGGGCTAAGTATATTTACATTTGTCCTTACTTTGCATTTGGTAGCTTTATTAATGATAAGTAATATTTATTAAAGAATATCTAGTTTTTTAAGAATGTGTATCATAGAAAAGGCTTATCTCTTAACTTTTTAGGATATTCTTGCTTTAGCACTTTGTGGAAAGGAAGCCTTGAGAAAGCTGGATGTTGATACAAAAAGGGGCTGATAAAAACCTGGGGTTGGAAAATAATATCGTATTTGATTTTGATTTTGATTTTAATTTTTACATCTTACGGTTCGATTACCTACTATAATTCAAATAATTGTGCTTTCAGGAAATGAGTGGCTTATACTCTCCTGTCAGTGAGGATAGCACAGTGCCTCAATTCGAAGCTCCTTCTCCATCACACAGGTATAAAACTTCAAACTTGTAATTGCATAGGATTTATGTTACAAAATGAATATATGGTACTAGTCCTTGGAAGTCTTTTCCATGTAATGTACAAAATCCCAGAGAGATTACTTTTGGTCATGATCTAGAAATGAGATTCAGATTACCCACTTGTTTCTTTAATGCTTTGAATCTTCATGCCAATTACAGTCACTGAGTAGACTATTGTTATATTATGAATTTACTGTTGGATTAAATGTTTGGAGGATTTTGTAAAATAATGATACTTTTAAATAGTTTGGAATAAAGTAAAACCTTAAGCTTTTTCCATAACTTACTGAATTTTCTTGGATCTCTTCTCCAGATTGAAAATGAGTGCATTAGATAGATTGGTGAGTTTAGATCTCCATGGCATCTTCTTATAACTCCCTGTTATTAAGTTATTCTTTTTTATATACTCTGTTAGAGTAGAGCTTATATTTGTTTAGCTTGCAACTATTTCCCTAGTTTTTTGAGTGGCTGGCCTCATTCACTATTTGTGAGGTACTATCTGTGGTTCCTTTTAAAATTCTAGTTGATGAAATAAGTACGACCTAAATTACTTGCTTGAAATACTGAAAGTATTTTCAACTTGCTAATCCATTTAGGTAATGGTCCAATAGAAGCTTTTTTATTTTTTATTTTAAAGACATTTTTATTTTTAGAGAGAGAGGAAAGAATAAAGAGAGGGGGAGACAATGAGCCTGCCACCTGGGCATGTGCCCTGACTGGGAATTGAACCTGCAACCTTTTGTGTATGCCCAACCCACTGAGGCACATAGGCCAAGGCCACTGGAAACTTTTTAGACAAAGAGTTTTAGGATAACATGGAATATCATGCAATCTAATGCCAACATAAAATATTATATGAGCCTTCAGAACCTGTCAATTTAGGTCTAGTTTGGTATGATATGTAGGGAAAGAGCTACAGGGGATGTTCTAGTTAAAGGGCATTCCTGAGATGTTTGCTATTTCCCCCATTAGCCATTTTATGGAGATCCTCGTGAATTCTAGTTATTTAGGGGTCACTTTAGCTATGTAATTCAGATTGTTTTTCTCCAAGCTTATTTAAAACTGTTGGGAATAACTCAGTCTCTGTTATTTTTAAACTTAGCTTTCACTTTCTAATATACATGGGATCTTTGTCCATGGAATTTTTACTGTGTGAGTACATGGAGGAAGGCAAAAGTTGTCATATCACAAAATATTCACTACCTTATATTTCCATTATCATATCCCTCTCCCTCTAATAGTAGTATGTCTTTATATCTATTGTGTCCAGGTCTTTGTTACTCAGTCTCTCACTGATGGTTTTTATTAACGTCTGACAAGATAATAATATATTCGTGTAACTGCTCTATTCAGTGCTTCTGATGTGCTTGACACTGTTACATGTTGAATCTAGTTGCAAAATCCCCCCTTATGGTATTTAGCTTTTGGGGAAGTATATGTGTGGAGGTTGGGAAAGATACTAAATAAGCAAATTTATAATGTAGCAGTAGTAGGTAATGTATAAGTAGAACGTCAAGAGGTAAAATTAGGCATCCTAGGGCTTTGCAGAGGTTCTGTTTTAGTTTGGAAAGTCAAACTTCTTCAAAGAGCTGACATTTAAGCTGACAAATTATGAAGTGTAAATATGATTGAAAGTCATGGGAGAGTTTTGAGCAGGATGTGATTTAGATTTTAAAGTGTGTACTGAGGTTTCCATGTGGAGGATAGAGAAAAGTTGTGTCCCTTTCAGTCCCCTGCCATTGGAAGTCGGGAGGAAAGTTAGGAAGTATTGCAACAGTCCAGAGGAGAGGAGATGATGGCTGGGATTAGGGTTTTAACATAGAAGAGATGAGAAGTGGTTGTATTGTAAAATAAAGTAGTATGTCTTATAAAAGATATAGGGCTTTCATTATATCTATGAAAACATTGTTGGGAAATTTGTAAACTAGTATTTAAAGCTATCATCAAAAGAGATTCTGGCAGACTTAGACTGGTGAATAGCTGAAGAAGGGAGAATAGTCAAACATGATATTTTCTTCAAAAGAGTATTTTGACATTTTATTAAAACAAGTAATTTGAATATTCCTCAGAGTTGGAGAGAGGTATTTGGAAAAAATGATGTTGCTCTTAAATACTCTTGGAAAATGACCCTTAAGTTTGGGATGTGAAATTGAACATGCTGAGAAGAATGTCTTGTTATACTATCAATATTTGATTTTTCCTTATTTATTTATTTATTTATTTATTTATTTATTTATTTATTTTGTTTTTAATATATTTTATTGAATTTTTTTTGCCCCCCCTCCCTTCCTTCCATACATACCCTCCCTCCCCAGAGTTTTATGTCTATTGGTTGTACTTATATGCATATACACAAGTCCTTCGGTTGATCTACTATCTCCCCCAGATCTTCCTCCCCTCCCCACTGTAATTTGACAGTCTGCCTGTTGCTTTACTGTCTCTATATCTGTCTCTTGGTTCATCAGTTTATTATGTTCTTTATCATCCACAAATGAGTGAGGTCATGTGATGTTTCTCTTTCATTGATTGGCTTATTTCACTCAGCATGATGTTCTCCAATTCCATCCAGGTTGTTGCAAATGATGAGAATTCCTTCTTTTTTATGGCAGCATAGTATTCCATTGTGTAAATGTACCATAGTTTTTGGATCCAATCATCTGCTGACGGGCACCTAGGCTGTTTCCAAATTCTGGCTATTGTAGATTGTGCTGCTATGAACATAGGGGTGCATATATCCTTTCTGATTGGTGTTTCTAGTTTCTTGGGATATATTCCTAGGAGTGGGATTACTGGGTCAAATGGGAGTTCCATTTTCAGTGATTTTTTCTTATTTTTAAGAAATAGTCTGTAATTGCAATTATAACTTTCCCTCATAATTATTAGCTTTATTGATTGCCAAAGACTTTTAATTTTTATTCCTCAATGTAATGTTTTGATTTATTTTAAGTAGGCTTATTATTTTAAAAGCCTGTTTGTAGATTCTTTTATTTCTATACTAAGGACCTTCTTTATATGTCAGGTCATTGAATTCTCTATATCATAGATTCTGGGTTTGTAATTAGATTATATATTTAAATGAAGAAAAAAGAAAGAAAGAAAGACAAATAATGGACCTCCTATCCCCAGGATTTTGTCTTCTATATGCTATGATCAGCGATAATTGCCATATCCAGTCAATTCTCTTCCTGCTACCTTGTTTAGACCAGTGGTTGGTAAACAGTGGCTCTCAAGCCACATGCGGCTCTTTGGCCTCTTGAGTGTGGCTTTTCCACAAAATACCAGGTGTGGGCGTGCACGTACAGTATGGAGTTGTCCAGGAGGCAGCCAATCAATGATTTTTTCACATCATTGATGTTTCTATCTCTCTCTCCCTCTCCCTTCCTCTCTGAAATTAATAAAAATATTTTTTAAAAATCCTGTTTTGGGAATTAAATTAAATTCTAACCCATAAAAATAGTAGGCAGAGTTCAGGTGAGGGTAAAAGACCATACAATTGGGGATCGAATCCAAAACCTCAACATGTGCCCTTGACCAGAATCGAACCCAGAACCCTTCAGACTGACACTCTATCCTCTGAGCCAGACCGGCTAGGGCCCAAAACAGGATATTAGGTTACCTTTACAAATACTGTTCCTTTTGCATAGAAGCTTCATGGAATCATCTCTTAACTAGCTTCTCCCCAATGTTAGGTGATTATAAACATGTCTTAAGAAATATCTGCTATACTTTTGAACACAAATGATGTTTTGCTGTATTTTTTAAATCCTGCATGCCCCCTACTGGGGATTGAGCCCATAACCTGGGCATGTGCCCTTGACGGGAATCAAACTCAGGACCCTTCAATCCATAGGCTGACACTCTATCCATTGAGCAAAACCAGCTGGGGCATTTTTTGCTGTATTTTAATGAAGTTGATTGTGTGGGAGAAATAGTAAAACCAGTTGATTACTTTATTGTTGGGAGTACATGGGATATTCACCTTATCTCTAACCCTATACTATGCAAAGGAGTTGAACTTGTCATAGATAAAGGAGGATCATTCAAGAATCTTATACAGAAATTTTAACTTGAAATAAAACAAAAGTACACACAAAACAGAAATAAAACTTCATTGGCAATAATAGAGAGGTTACTCTTCTACATCTGTAATTTCTCATTAAATTTATAGGTAATAAACATATATAGCAAGTTATGAAAACCATATTGAAATAGTATAATTTTCTTTAGAATATTTGAAGAATTTATTCTTAGTCACTCAGCCAGTTTTGGGATTGTATTATACATGTATAAAACACTGATTTAGGTACTGGGAATACAGTTGTGAATATGACAGACCTAGAACCCTATTATCATAATTCCACAATTGTAGGATGGAAAATCAGTTATGCTGGCAAATCAATTATTTTGCTAAAAATTTGGGTAAATAGACTTTCACTTCCAAGAGTTAAAATAATCAAAATGACTTTAGCTAAAAACTTTAGTAATCATATTTGATTAATAGGCATTTCAGGACTTAAAAACTCCTTTAGGTTCTTGTTATAAACTGGAATTAACATAGCTCAACGAAGCTATTGACAAATCCTTCCAATTCTGAATTTTGAGGTGTGAATAGGCCATATTTCAATAAACATGTCCTCAGGAGAGGATTTTAAAAAGGGCTTAATTAGGTTTTATTTTTCAGATTTCTTCTGTCACATAGTGTATGCAATAATAATTTTTTCTTAGTGAATAAAAGTAAAACTTGATATAAAAATAAATTTCAAACTGCAGATACTGGTACTAAAGTACCATTTAAAATTTGTAATGTCAATATCTTCAGCAAATTGATGAGTATTTTATAATTGAATTTATTGGGGTGACGTTGGTTAATAAAATTATATAGGTTTCAAGTGTACAATTCTATAGTATATCATCTATATATTGTGTTCACCACTTTAAGTCAAATCTCTGTCACTGTTTATCCTTTGCTTACTCTCTTCTACCTGCCCTCACTTCCCTTGTCCCTCTAGTTATCACCATACTGTTGTCTGTGTCAGATGAATATTTTTCATACACACTAATATCATTTGTTCAGACTTGTGGTCAAAGAAATCTGAATTATAACACCATAAAAAAATCACATCTAGAAATTGCTCTGTTCTATTGACCTCTAAATCACAGCTACATGGTTTAATAATATTTATACAAATGCTAGGGGAATGGATTTTATTAGTAAAAGTAACAGATATTTTTGAATGCCTGGCATATCCTTATTTTTAGCCCTATTAGCCTTGGATGGAGTATACTAAAAATAGCATGTGATCTTGTCATACTCTTTGCAAGGAAGAAAAGCATTAATTATAGTTCATCGAAAGAAACCCATTTTGAAATAACCCATTATGTGTTAATTCTTTAATTTTTAGTGTAAGAGCTTTGAAGGCTGTTTCTTATATAATTAAGTCTTTCTATAGAAACAGTTAAGAACACAATGAATTAAGATCTAGTAATATGTGTTGCTTTTGAAAAAGACTACTGTGAGGACAGTTCCATATGATTTATTATATTTTTTAAAGTGTGAGGTTCAATGTTATACTAATTTTATTACTAGAAGATAAAATTAATTGAATTTTTACTTGTATTGGCATTGTACTGAAAACTTAACATACTTATTTAAATCTCATATCTTTCTGAAGTGTCTTCCTCATTTAATAGATGGAGAAACTAAGAGACCAAATTAACATTAGTAACTTATCCAGGTCATTTAGCTACTATAGGGTGAAAATCAATTCCACTTTGTGCTCTTAAGAGTGCCTCTTATGTTATAACCTTTGAGGTTATTTGAGTACTAACCTAAAATAATGATTATGTGTGTTTGTGCAGAGAGAACCATTTTAAGTAGGAGAATGCACAGACCATATAACCAAATGTAAAGAACCAATGCAGAAAGCAAATATGTTTGACCAGAGCAGAGAAAACTGGTGTTTTGGTTTTGGGTATGAAAGAAAGATTATTGGTATTTTATTTATTTTATTCTTTTGATAGCTTTCTTTATGTGAGATGATTATCAGAACACTTTATACCTGAAAGGGACTATAGAAATTATAAAGGGAAGTTAGTTCCCACTCGTCTGATTGTATATGGAAAACTGAGTGGTTTTATTATTTTATTTTTTAAATATATTTTTATTGATTTCAGGGAGGAAGCAAGAGGGAGAGAGAGATAGAAACATAAATAATGAGAGCTAATCATCAATTGGCTCCCTCTTGCATGCCCCACACTAGGGACTGAGCCTGCAACCCAGGCATGTGCCCTGATCAGGAATCGAACAGTGACCTGATCCACACAGGTGGATGCTCAACCACTGAGCCACACCACTGGGCAAAACTGAGTGGTTTTAAAGTACTTGTCCAAGGACCCGTAGCTCTTTAGTGCATTGCAGTATCTGTTTACCATCACTTTTGATTACATGCTTGTGCTCTTTTCCCAACACTCTTCGGTAAGTGGGCTTTCAAACAACTTAACATATTTGAAAACCAAATTGAAACACATACATATATGTATGTACCTGTCCTCTGATTATTTTTTTATGATATTCCTTTATGATGTACATGTTTAAGGTGGTGGGGTAAAGAGATAACTTGTTTAAATATTTGCTATTTTTTTTGTTTGCTTAGTCTAATTAAATTAATGTCAATAAATATTTTATTTGCTTAGAAATTATAAGTATTGGATTCACATATTTTAGTTTTGCTTTTTCTCTTGATAAAATAATATAAACACTGGAATCACATTTTTCTCTCTATTTTGCAGTAGTATTATTGATTCCACAGAATACAGCCAACCTCCAGGTTTCAGTGGCAGTTCTCAGGTAAATCATATGCTTAAAAATATGTTTTGGTGGTAATATGAATATAATCATTTGAGTTGTAAAATCAGGTTGGTTTACTGTAATATCCTATCATATAGACTGCTGTTTTGAATGCTGTAACATTGATTAGGACTTGAATAGGTCTGATACATAATCAGCTATTTATTTGCTCATCAATGATGAGTTAAAATTTTTTAAAAATCTTTATTGTTCAGATTATTACAGTTGTTCCTCTTTTTTGCCCCCCATAGAGGTGGGAACCTCCATCAGGTTCCCACCTCACCCTCTGCTCCTAAACCCCCCTCATCCTCATTCATAGGTGTACAATTTTTGTCCATTTTCTTCCCCCACCCCCCACACCTCTTTCCTCCCAAGAATTGTCAGTCCACTCCCTTTCTATTCCCCTGATTCTGTCAAGAAGAGAAAACTGAGATTTTTAATTCAAGGATTATGACTTCAGAGCCAATACTTTCAAATACACATTTATCCAACCAAAATATATATTTTTTAATTTTTTTGAATACCTGCTATTTACCAGGCACTATTTTAGTTTCTGGGGATGCATTGTTGAACAAAAACGAAACATACAAAAATCTCAAGTAACCAAGTTTCCAACCTAGTTGGAGAGATACTAATAGGTTATCCTTGAACAAAGAGAAGGTGAGGGAGCAAGCCACATGCTTAACTCTGAGAAGTTTCAGGCAAAGAGATAACAAGTAAATAAGTCCTGAGGTAGGAGAATGCCTGACATCTAGAAGTGAGCAAGGGGGAAAAAGTAGAAATGAGGTAAAAATATAACAAAGGCCACTTGGTGCATGACTTTCTTATGCATTATAAAAACTAAGTTAGATCAATTAAATGGGCACTTGTCTTCCTTTTTACTTCACATGAAAGGATTATCCTATCAAATAAAAGAGGAATATGCAAATTGACCATCATTCCAACACACAAGATGGCTGCTCATGTGGACACAGATGGTCACCAGAAGATGTCCAGCAGAGGAGGGCAGTTGGGAGGGACCAGGCCTGCAGGGGAGGGCAGTTAGGGGCAATCAGGCTGGCAGGCAGGCGAGCAGTTGGGAGTCAGCAGTCCTGGATTGTGAAAGGGATGCCTGGATTGTAAAGGCACACAGGCATAGAAAACACACACACAGATTGGAGAAGGTGCAGGCTGGGCTAAGGGACACCCTCCTCCCCTGCACGAATTTCATGCACCAGGCCTCTAGTCCTATATAATAAAGAGCTAATATGCAAATTGAACAAACGTCGGAACAACTGGTCGCTATGATGCAAGTTGACCACCAGGAGTCAGATGCTCAATGTAAGAGCTGCCCCCCAGTGGTCAGTGTGCTCCCACAGGGGGCCACTGCTCAGCCAGATGCCTGGCTCATGGCTGGTGAGTGCAGTGGCGGTGGTAGGAGCCTTTCTCGCCTCCATGGCAGATGTCCAACTGCTGTCTTAGGCCTGCTCTCCTGAGGGCTCACAGACTGCAAAAGGGCTCAGGCTGGGCTGAGGGATACCTTCTACCCTCCCCACCCCCCAAGTGCACAGATTTCATGCACTGAGCCTCTAGTATATTGATAATATTCCTGGAGCATTTAGAAAAATGGATTGACTACATTCTCTATATTAGAACCCCAAATAAATATTCAGACAGAGACAGACAACCTGGAAGAGAGTAAATTAAATACTTCCCTAAATGCCTTTGTGTCAAAAGAGTAGTTTTAGATGCTGCTACAAACAGTTACAAAAATAGTACTAGTGAAAATACTGACTACAAACTTTATGAAATGTGATCAGAATTGTCCTAAAAAATTTACATCATTAAATGAATTCTTTTTTTTTAAATGATTGAAAGGATGAACTAGGCATTCAACTCAAGAAGCTGGGAAAGGTTTAAGATGGTAAATACAGAGAGAGAAATACAAAAAGAGCTCAAATACAGTAAAATGTTGCGTATGTGTGTGTGTGTGTTTTTTTTTTAATGTTTTTATTGACTTCAGATAGATTAAGGGAGAAGGGGAGAGAGAAACATTAATGATGCAGAGAATCATTGTTTGGCTGACTCCTGCATGTCCCATATTAGATCGAGCCTGCAGCACAGTCATATAGGATATTATATACTATATTCTTATAATAAAGTAAGCTAGAAAAAAAATGTTCTACAAAAATTGTAAGAAAGAGAAAATACATTTACAATGGCCTGCATTTAAGTGAACCTGTGCAGTTCAAGGGTCAACTGTATTTTTTATAGGAATTACTAGTATATGCCAATATATTTCAGGTTTGTTGTCTTTGTCTATATCTACCTACCTACATATCTATATCTATATCTATATCTATCTATCTATATATATATATATATATGCTTCTCTCTCTTGCTAGCGCGTTCCCCACCCCCCTCTCTCTATATATATGACTTAGTTATCCTGATTTTCTAAAGTATATGTCAAACTATTTAGTGCATACATATTACTGTACCATACTCATATTCAATTTTAACTTAAATACATATTCTGTACAGTCATGCACTGCTCCTGTTATTCAAAAGGTTAAAGGCTAAAATATAGGGATGATGGAAAAGTACATTTTAAAATTCGTAAAATTCTAAATTTTAGAATGGCAGTTATGATGGATTTTATCTTTGTTTATATAATTTGAAGAACTGATAGAAGCTTCTCATCTTTTACAATAATAAAAGCATAATATGCTAATTAGACCAGACATCCTTCCGGAAAACCTTCCGGATGAAGCTAGGACTTCAAGGAAAGCCCAGGCCAGAGGGAAGCCAGTGCCAGCAGCTGGGGGAAGGAAGGCCTATTCTTGCGCAAATTTCATGCATCGGGCCTCCAGTATTTTTATAAAATTGAGAACCTATATTTTCATCTTAAGAAACCATATTTTCACATTAAGTAAAAAATTATAAAATGTGTAAGAACTATGGCTTTTTATCATTTGTAATTTATTTTAATGTGATGAACTTTTGAAATTAGTTATTCTGTGCAGAAAGGACATTTTTTCCCCTGAGTTATAAGTGTCTTTTCTTGTTAACACCTTAGACCAAGAAACAGCCTTGGTATAACAGCACTTTAGCTTCAAGACGAAAACGACTCACTGCTCATTTTGAAGACTTAGAGCAATGTTACTTTTCTACAAGGATGTCTCGTATCTCAGGTACACATTCAGGACTTCATTATTTTTCAAACTTTTATTTTTAATTATATTTTTTATGTTTATACATCCCAGTGACCACACATTCCATAATTTAATACATGATCATTTCAATAAAATACCTCAAATTTAAATTTCAGATCCATCTTTAATTTCCTATGCTGGATTTATGGAAAGACCTATTTATAAAGCAAAAGTGTGTATTTTTGACATAGGCTATCAGAGTGTTGTAAAGGTTCTTAGATATCTTGGATAACATTGCATACCCATAGCTAGTTTTGTTCTCTTTCTATGTTTAGAATTTTTAACCTTTACATAGTGAACTATATAAAGTTAAAAAAAAACACAATCATGTATATGTAGATAGCAAAAGTAAGTTCCATTCATTTGCCTTCTATTATCCAACATTTATTAAATTCTAAATACTGTCTTCTGTGCTAAGAATGAAAATATGTAAGAACTGGTTTTTATTGTCCAGGAGTAGTATAAACATAGTGGGAGAATGCAGCAGGTAAATTGTATGGGATAATGTATGTTATATAAATATGCAAAGGGTATTATGAGAAGATACACTTTCACAAAATAATCTGTAATTAAGACAGGAGAGGTGATATGCTAGCTGATATGTATGGATGTTCATAAATCAAACAAGCAAATAGAATCCTACCTTTTTATAACCACATAAGTAAAAATTAATTCCTATATTTTTATATATAGAAGTAACTATTTTTAGTACTTTATTACTTTTGTTGAAAGTAGGTATTAATGTAATGAATGATGTCATGATGGCCAGAAGTTTAACAATCCTAGAAAAGGATTATGGTCTTCAACAGAATACACATTCTCTTTATTAATTTCGGAGAGGAAGGAAGACTAAGAGAGGGATCATTGATGGGCTGCCTCCTGCACACCCACACTGGAGATCAAGCCCACAACCCAGGCATGTGCTAGTTTATAGGTCCTCCTAGTTTATAGGTCAGTGATCAACACTGAGCCATGTCTGTTGGGCAGAATATACAGTCATGAACACTTGTAAATTTTATGTACTTAGGGATTGATATAATATGAGAAAAAATAGATTAGCATTAAAACAAATTTTAAATGAATAAAGTAACTGCCTTCCCAGTATTTATTACATCATTCACAATAATAGGATTATATATGAAAAGAACTAATTAACTGTTACATCCAAGCCACTTTATAATAATTGATTTTTTTTTAGAACCAATTAACTGTACGTTCAAACTACTTTGTAGTACAGTTGATTTTTTTCAATAACCCATGTTTTACTTATAATTTGTTAAATTTCCTGAGAATAATTTTTGTGTAGCAGGAGCTTTATCTCAATAACATGATATTTCATGCTAATTTGTTCCTTTTGCTGTTTTTAGAATAGAAACACTACAAATTGGACCCTTTTAATGTAGATTGTTAATGAATTGGCTAAGTTAGTTTTAAGTCTTTAAAGGATTATTAAAGTTGAAAGATCAGCTAAGTTTTCAATCTCTTTAGTTCTTAGTCTCTTCATCTCAAGATTGGGAAGAATTGCGGTTTTTAAAATATTATTCTTAATTTGTGGCTATTGCTTTTGGATGTTGCAGTTCTTTTGTTTTCTTTTGTTTTCTTTATATAGATGACAGTCGAACAGCAAGCCAGTTGGATGAATTTCAAGAATGTTTGTCCAAGTTTACTCGATATAATTCAGTACGACCTTTGGCTACCCTGTCATATGCTAGTGATCTCTATAATGGTTCCAGCATAGTCTCTAGGTAAGTACTGGGCAGCACTCCACTATTTCCTTTTGCAAGATTATCTAAAATTTAATTGAATTTGAGAAGCAATTATGGTGTTATGGTTAAAGCTTTAGTGTTCTGAAGTCAGTTGTCTGCCAATTTTTAGTTCTTTGGTCTTAGGCCAGTTTTCAATCTCTTTATCCCTCAGTCTCTTGATCTCAAGAATGGAATGATTAATAGTATTCACCTCATAGGGTTGTAGTTGTGTTCTTGTAATATCCTTGACTGGTTTTATGAGAAGGTATGCTGTTCTCATAAGTGCTTCCTCTTCTTAAGTTTTCTGTACACATTTGTAAAGAATTGGTATTATTTCTTCCAGTGAAGCAATCTTGGCCTCGAGTTTTCTCTGGGGGGAAACTTTTAAATACAAATTTAATTTTTAATATATGTAGAGCCAGATATCATTTCTTCTTGATTGAGGATATTTTTAGTTTGTCTTTTAAGGAATTTTTCCATTTCACTTAGGTTGTTCAATTTGTTTTGTGAAGGAGTGTTTATAATATTCCTTTATTATCCTTTTAATATCTTTAAATTCTATAAAGATGCTCACTTTCTCATTCCTGGTATTGAAATTTTATCTCCTTTACTCCCTACATCACCGCCCACTTAGTAGTCTGGTTTAGAAGTTTAATTTTACTTATCTTCTTCGGAGCCAGCTCTTGGTTTATTAATACTCTCTATTTCTCTATTCTCTGTTTCATTGATTTATACTCTTCATTGCCTTTTTTGCTTTCTTTAGGTTTAATTTGTCCTTATCTTTTGGTTTCTTCTTTATTGTAGATAATTTCTGTTACAAAGTTTCCTACTATAATAGCACTGTATTGGCTGGCCACAGATTTTGATGTGATACCTTTTTTTCTCCAAAATATTTTTATTATGGTAAATACATATAACACAAAATTTGCCATCTTAACAAGTTACTATTCAGTGATATTAAATACATTCCTAATAATATACTGTTACTACCATCCATCTCCTTAATACTTGACATGTAAAACAAAGTCGGAGCCCACTGAAAAAATAACTCCTCATTCTCACCATTGTCCAGTCCTGACAACCACCATATTCTACTTTCCGTCTCTCTGATGTTGACTAAGTATCCCATACAAGTATAATTAAGCAATATTTTTTAAAGAAAAATTTTCAATATTCAAGCTTTATTAGGGATGAAGAATAGTAACAACAAAGGGAGATAGTATCTAAATAATTGAAGGGACTTGGAAACTTTCATAGAACAAATAATTTTTTTGCTTTTCCTAATTTCTCACATTCAAATGCATTATTGGTAATAAGTGTGTTTTAAAGGATTTTAATTCCTTTCAAAATAGGACCTTTAATGAATTTCTTTTGGGCCCTGGCTGGGTGGCTCAGCTAGTTGGAGCATTGGTCCTATACACCAAAAGGTCTCTGGTTCAATTTCCGGTCAAGGCACATATGTACCTAGGTTATAGGTTTGATCCCCATTCAGGACACATGCAGGAACAACCAATTGATTATTTCTCTCACATCGATTTTTCTCCCTCTCTCTCTCTTTAAAAATTAATAAACACATATCCTTAGTTGAGGATTTAAAAAATAAATTTCTTTTGGGAAAAGTGGTAAGACATGTTAGAGATGACGTTGAATTTGGTATATTTCATTATGTTGTAGAAGAAATTATTCTTACTGTGCAATTGTAAGAAATATATCTATGCTTGGTCAGTTATTGCAGTGAGAATCACACTGAGAGAAAAGGCTGAACCAGAAACTTTGCTTTTACATTTTTTTCTTTCCTTAAAGGTAATTTTCAGTTAATTAATACCACACTCATAAATCCACAAGGTGGCAGCATTTGTTTATTTTGACAGTATCTCAGCTAATTAAACAGTAGACAAGTATGGAAATTAGTGCTTACATTGCAGTTCATAGATAACTCATCTTATACATAGCAGTAATGTCACTTTTGTCCTTTTCCTTAAATTAGGTATTGAGTAACTACCAGAGAGGAATGGCTTTAAAGCATAATTTAAACTTTGACTAATAGTAGCAATGGCTCTACGTTCTTGAATCTGGTTTGAATTTTACATACCTAGATTGTTATGTTTAAAATTACTATACACTCCACTTATAGTTTAGAGATTTAACATTTTTCTTATGTTTTCTCAAATTTTTAAAATAGAATTTCATCAGACATTAGTAAATTCATAAGAAGAAAATGGATGCTAGTGTTCAGGGTTATGAAACTGCCTTGTTTGTTCATATCTTATAATCGTAAAAAATATGACAAACTGTGGGAACAAAATTCCCTTCTTGGAAAATTGATATCTTTGTATTGCTTTGTGCCACACTGTACTGGAAGTGTGCATTAATCAGCTGTCCTGTGTGATCTCTAGCCTTGTTGCTTACTCACTTGACTAATGGCCCTTTTGACAAAGAATAGAATCAGTTTCCTACATCTGAATTACATTTTATAACTGTTTTAAACACATCACTTTAAAAAAAAAACAACACAGTTGACATATTTCAAGTGTGAAAGAAAGTTACAATTTATTTCCATTGTTAAAATTAGTCTCCATTAATATTATTTTTCAAGAAAAATATGTTTGTGTATTTTGAAATTTAAAACATTTTACAAAATTGAATTTATCATTGCAATGAACTTTCATAAATCACCTGTTTTAAGAATTACTGGTGATAGTGGATAGCAGAAATGAATTTTATATAACAAGCAAGATTTCTTACAATTCTCTTGAATTTAATTGCACAAGCAGGTATGTTTCAGTTAATTTGTTTACCTTTTACTTTGTTTATGTTTTAGCCAAACCAATCATTGTTTATTTTTGTTTACATTTCATAATTAAAGCAGTTGAAATATTATATTGTGAAGTAAGAGATTGTCTATTTTGGTGAAGCTCTGTAAAGCTCTCTAAAAACTACATTGTTCACTTGAATTATTTCATGATCTATTTTAGATCCTAATTATGTTTATGTTTGGGTACAGACATGCTTAAATCTGTCCAAGATTGGGAACAAATGACTCAGTGTTTAAAAGAACAGTACTTAAATATCGAGTTTCAATTATGTGGAAGTATTATACTTGCATATTTTAAAAAGGCAGCTGTTTGTATTCTCTTTTAATCAAGATTAACTAGAAATAATAGTTTTCTTTATAAATTTTGGTCAGTAATCCTATGAAAACCTTCTGATTTAAACTATAAAGAACCTTGATATCCCAGAATATAAAAAGGATATTTTATACAGGACCTTTATATCCCAATAGATTAAGAACAAAACATAACCACAGTGTAAGAAAATAATAGCAGTGGATTTAAAAAGTTAATTTTTTAGTATAAGAGTGAAGAATGAGCAAATGTAGATAATTAATCTTTGTAGGAAAAAGAAAGAGCTGTCTTGTGTAATGGGGTAGGGACAGAAGAAATAATAGATTTATATCATCAAATCAATTCTTTTGACAGGTAGCAATTTTATTTTTATGTCAGTTTTCCTCCTGCAGTGTCTTTGAACAATTGTTTTGATAAGATAGTGTTTAAACTTGTTTTTTTTAAGAGCTATAGTTTGAAAGGGTACATTAACTTTTACTGGTACAACATTAGAATGCTGTTGATTTATTAGCCATGTATGTTTATAGGTGGAGGAAAAGTACTTAGAGATAATATAAGGGATTCTCCCATGAAGTCTGAGCTATACCTAAACTTCTTAAGTTAAGAATAGGATTTCAACCTCAATAACTCTGTCTTTTGCCAGACACAGTAACATTTTTTCTTCAGTGGCATGAGGTTGTGGATATAGAATGAGGCTGGATAGTTGAATAGTTGTCATCGATATAGTTATGTTGCATTAGAATCCATAGGACAGTAGCTGAGATAGCAGTCCAGTTGAGGTGGTTGCACAAATAAATCTATTGCATTGCTACAAAGTCCTGTTTTATTGGAGGTAACATTTGCTGAATTGTGATGTAGTCAATAGCATTTAATGAAATTCCTTTAAAATTTTTATAAAATTAAGAATTTAAAACTATAATGAAAAGTGAGAATATCAACATGTTTTTATGGGAAATATTTTTAATGTGTACTTATTTTCCTTATTTATCACATCATTAGTTCAGCAAAGCTTCTTACTAATTTATTAACTAAACCATTAACAGTTATGTGAAAGAATATCACAGGTAATCATAAAATGACTAATCCTCTCTCTTTCCCATTATTCACATACCTGTTGATATATTTGGTAAATCCAAGTGCTATTCCTTTGGTTTTAAATAAGACTGTTACTTCCAGATTGCATTTTTAACCATTCAGAACCCATTTAACCTCCTTTCAGAAAGGCTTCCTTGACCTCAGGGAAGCCTGCTCTTCCACTTACCCTATTGCCTTCCTGTAAGTGTCAAAGCCTGTGAAGATCAATTCAAGTCTCAAGTCCTCCATCTCAGTGGTTGCCAACCAGTGGTCCAAGGTGAGGTCCAAAAGGTTGGCAACCACTGGTTTAAGGAAACCTTTGGAGCAGTGGTCGCTAACCGGTGATCTACAGACTACTAGTGGGTCCCTGAGGTCCGAAAAGTTGGCAAACACTGTTCCACCTGATTATCCAACCATGAGGAAGTTTGCCTCAAGGTGTGTCCCTTAAAAGGGAAGGACAAAGAGTGTCCTGGAGCAGTCCTGCAATGACTAAAAACTCAATACTGTATTTGCAGAAGGGTTTAAGTTGATGAAGTACTGTCACATTATCTTTGTTGGACCACCCACCCACCCTAGGAGGAAAGTAAAGTCATTCAATAATGAAGTTATATCACCACCCACATTTTGCAGGATGAAATACAAACTAAAAAAGCTATTAAGAACCCTGTCTGGTGTCACACAACTAATAAATGGTACATATCTCCAGAGAGCCTTGAACTTGTGCTTTATCTTGTAGTCAGACAGCCAGTTCATCAGCTCATATATTAATATTAGGGGAAGAAGTTGGCCTAACGCCAACTCCTTTGCCAGGGCGCAGTGCCTCTGATACTGAGATTATACCATAATTCTTGTAGGAAAGCCACTATTTTGGGTGTCCTTTCGGACATCTGTTATGCAGTCATTTTTGTTGAGGTTCACCATCCACTATCAATCTGCACCGATCAGCTTCATCTCATTCATCTTGTGGCATCCTTGTTTGGTTTTGGTATTGAGTAATGCTGGCCTTATAAAATGAGTTTGGAAAAATTTGGAAGAGTTCCCTTCTATTCTAATTTTTTGAAGAATTTGAGAAGGATGGTATTATTTCTTCTTTGAATGTTTGGTAGAATCTACCACTGAAGCCATCTGATCCTGGACTTTGTTGGGAGGATTTTTGTTTGTTTTGTGGGTTTATTTTTATAAAGATATTTTTATTGATTTCAGAGAGGAGAGGAATGGGAAAGAGAAAGAGAAACATCAATGATGAGAATCATTAGTCGGCTGTCTCCTGCGTGACATGAGCCTACAACCCAGGCATGTGCCCTGACTGGGAATCGAACTGTGGCGACCTGGTTCACAGGTTGCTGCTGAACCACTGGTCAAGATGGCTGGCCTATAATGATAATTTAATGATTCAACTTTTATGTGTATTTTATCCCTTTATCACCACCCCTCCCTTAACTGCTTCAGTAATTCCTCTGGTATACTAATTTATTTATTAAACTGACATTAAATAGTGTGAGATTCTATCTTCTCCACAAAATGGTAGGAAGAAGAATAACTATAACTTACAGAAAATATTAATTGATGATTTTCTTTTTATTAATTTTTAATATTGCAAACCATTTAAACTTCCCTCGCTACTTTTACAGCATAATTTTATTAGCCTTGACAGTTGGGTAGGTTGTATTATGGTTACTAAAACAAATGAAAAAGTAGTCCCAGGTTTCTACTAACAAAAGAACCATCTATAAACAGAATTGTGTAGCTATGTGCATTTCATCACTACTTGTAATTTGATGTCTTGGTCATGATTTAATCTGGACATAGGGCGTGGGACAGTCTGAGGGCCTTTCAAGTAGATCTCTTATCATTGTAGACAAAATCATTTCAGAAATAGAATAAACCAAATTATGAACAGTTATCATCATAAATGTCACAAGTATAGATAGTCTTACTGACCACATATATATATGTTATGTACCCACCCCCCACCCCCTTCAGTATTGAATTTGACCGGGATTGTGACTATTTTGCAATCGCTGGGGTTACAAAGAAGATTAAAGTCTATGAATATGGCACAGTCATTCAGGATGCGGTGGATATTCATTACCCTGAAAATGAAATGACCTGCAATTCCAAAATCAGGTATCTACATTATTTTCTTGTCTTATTACAGTTTATATGTAACAGTTGATATCTATAATAAGAATGAATTTGTTTTTTGCTTTTCTAGGAAACTCCTTACTTATTCATGATGAACACTATAATTGCCTACAGAGGATACATCAGAATATCTTTCTTAATAGATATTGGTTGCTTTCCCTCAATAGTTATTGCTTTTCAGTTTGTCAAATGAAAGCTATTTTTCTTTCACTTAATTAAGTAAAGATCTTTGTTGTAGATGGCCTTTCATGAGGTATTGAATAAAGGATTACTATAGCTTATGAATATGTCTGAAAATCAGGAATTTTTCCCCTAGCATACACATTTCTAAATATTATAATGTTTTATAGTTTTAAGAATTCTTTTCATAAGAACATTCTGTTTCTTTTCATTAAGAACATAATATTTAGCCGAAGCCGGTTTGGCTCAGTGGTAGAGCGTCGGTCTGCGGACTGAAGGGTCCCAGGTTCGATTCCGGTCAAGGGCATGTGCATTGGCTGCAGGCATATCCCCGGTGTGGGGTGTGCAAGAGGCGGCTGGTCGATATTTCTCATCGACGTTTCTAACTCTCTCTCCATCTCCCTTCCTCTCCGTAAAAAATCAATAAAATATATTTAAAAAAAAAGAACATAATATTTAAGTTTCCTGTATTAGGGTTTAGAGTTCATAATGAGTATGGTAAAATACTACATTTTTAACAGTTTTCAAACTTGGGATACTGTTCAAAATTGAGGAACTAGGCACAATTTCTGATTTGCAACCCAAAAATTTTAGAGAAGTCCTGGAATCTACATTTTAAAAATAAGCTTCCAAAGCTGGTTTCATGGGCACTGGCTTAAAGGGGGATGATATAAGGAAATCATCTAGTAATAAATTATTTAGAACTTTGAACATTTCCCAGTCATCCTTGTACCTTTTTTTATTTGAATGAATGACATATATAGTACTGTTAATTATATAGCAAGTATTACAGTCTTTATATAATTACTAGAGGCCGGTACACAAAATTCGTGCGGGGGGGTAGGGGGGAGGGGGAGAGGGGAGGTTGTTCTTCAGCTCAGCATGCACCCTCTCCAATCTGGGACCTTTCCAGGGATGCCTGACTGCCTGTTTAGGCCCAATCCCACATGGGCAATTGGACATCGCACTCACAATTCAGGACTGCTGGCTCTTAACTGCTCGCTTGCCTACCTTCCTAATTGCCCCTAACCACTTCTGCCTGCCAGCCTGATCATCCCCTAACCACTCCCCTGCCAGCCTGATTGATGTCTGACTGCTCCCCTGCCAGCCTGTTTGCCCCCAACTTCCCTCCTCTGCCAACCTGGTCACCTCTAACTGCCCTGCCCTGCAGGCTTGATTGCCTTCAACTGTCCTCCTTTTGCAGACCTGGTCCATCCAAACTGCCCTCCCTGATGGCCATCTTGTGGCGGCCATCTTGTGTTCACATGGGGGCAGGATCTTCGACCACATCAAGGCAACCATCTTGTGTATTAGAGTGATGGTCAATTTGCATATTATTCTTTTATTAGATAGGATAGAGGCCTGGGGCCAGCTTGTTTGCCCTGTAGGGTGTCCCGGATCAGGGTGGGGGGAGGCCTGGGCGAGGGGCCTGTGGTAGTTTGCAAGCAGCTATGCCCCCTGGCAACCCAAGCGTAAGCCCTGGTATCTGGAATTTTTATCTTGTACAATTGAAACTTTGTAGCCTGGAGCAGAGCCAAGCCTTCTGCTCGCTCCCTGGTGGCAGCCATTTCTGTTGGGATTTATTTATCTTCTATAATGAAACTTTGTAGCCTTAAGTATAGAAGCCTGGGCTGGCCAGGATGTGCAGAAAGCTTGGCTTCCTTCATTGCTCAGGAAACCCAAGCCTCCCTCCTGCTTGCTGTGTGGCTACAGCCATCTTGATTGGGTTAATTTGCATACTCACTCCTGATTGGCTGGTGGATGTGGCCTGTGGGTATAGCAGAGTGGTGGTTAATTTGCATATTTCCTTTTTATTAGATAGGATAGCTTTATTTTTTGTTTCCTAATTCATTCATAAAAATGGTAGACGCATAATTTGTGAGCCTGCTCATTTTTCAGTGGCACTTACTGAGAATCCATTATACTTTTTGTCCAAGTCCAACATGAGTAAGACATAATTTTATTGAATTCTTCTTACATGGCAGTCATTGTCTTAAGTGCTTTGTCTTAGCAGACCAATGAGATACTTACCTTTGTTGCTCTATTATATATACAAGGAGGATGAAGCACAGAAAAGTTAATAAACTTGCTTCAGATTACACAGCTAGGGTTTGGAGGTACCAGGACTCAAACAGGTAGTTTGGTTCTAGAATCTGTGCTCTTAACCATTTCGTGTTCTTCATTTATAACATGGAGAACAAAGAGTAATACCTATTTTATTAGGTTGTACTTTATTTTATTTATTTAAAAAAAATACATTTTGTTGATTTTCCACAGAGAGGATGGAAGAGGGATAGAGAGCAAAAACGTCAATGAGAGAGAATCATCAACCAGCTGCCTCCTGCACACCCCCTTCTGGGGATGTGCCCACAACCAACATACATGCCCTTGACCAGAATCGAACCGGGGACCTTTCAGTCCTCAGACCGATGCTCTACCACTGAGCCAAACTGGTTTCGGCTAGATTGTACTTTAAATAAATGCACATAATGTACTCAGTACAGTACTTGGCCCATCTCAAGAATTTATATTAAATGTGACTAATGAAAGTGTGGAATTGAGAGTTTACCCTTTCTTGACACTTAAAATATGGCAGATTTTTTGGTACCTTGGAGTAAATGGAGGATGCTTTTCAAGACAGGGTGCCATGGGCTTGGGACTGAAAGAATCAACATGTAAGCATACCTAAAAACAATTTGGAGCATGGCAATAGTAAAAGTGAAGTAAATTACCCAAAGCCACAGCTAGTCAATGGCAGATCTGGAATTTGAGCTCAGGTCTATGTGAATCAAATTTAACTCTTAACTGTTCCATGTAATTTCACTCAGAAATTCAGTAAGTATATTTAAACATGCAAATTAATTCTTCCAGTCTCTGAGATTTAGCATGAATAAAACTAGTAGAGAGCAAAAGATTTTATTATGTTCATATGCTAAGAAGTCATTTAGACTAATTGCTTTCAAAGTGACTTCTTTCTTAATATACTATTTGCTTTATTACTCTATGCATGATTCACATCTGTGTCTCATCAAAAATACACATTTTTAGATGTTGCATTTTCAATTTTGGAGTGACTGAGAATAGCAGAAAACATAAATGTTAAAAGTTTAATTCTCATTGTTAAATGCTTTTGATTGGATTTTCATCTACAAGATTATGTTGATTTAGAATTTTTTTTTTTTTTTTTTTTTTTAGATATAAACTGAAACTTAATTTAAACTAGTTTAGTTGCTTTTATGATTTGGCACAACTGGGTTCGGGGTCCTAAACAATCTGATTAGATCTTTGCTATTCTGCATGCTTTATGCCCCCTTGGCCTCTATTATCTTCACCCATATGCATACTTTCTCATGTATCCAAGATGGCCAGTGGCAGCTTTAGGTTCATATTCATCTTTCAGCTAGTGATAAGACTGCAAAGTTGTATGGGTCATGACTTGGTAGTTTCAATAGAAAAATATGGGAAATACTTGCTATCTTTCTTTCCCATATGTGTTATGAGCAGAGAAATGATGGTGAATTTATGTAGAACATTTCAAAAGGGTTCTAATCTTTCTGGACATATCAAAATCTTTTATCTCTATTGTTAATTACTTTTACATAAAGTACAGCTTAAATATATTGCTTTTTTTCAGCTGTATCAGTTGGAGTAGTTATCATAAGAACCTGTTAGCAAGCAGTGATTATGAAGGCACTGTCATCCTATGGGATGGATTCACAGGACAGAGGTCAAAGGTCTATCAGGTAATTAACAATACTAATTTGTCTTGATAATCAAATTTTGACTTTCTTAATAATTATAACGCTTCATATACTTCTAATTTAAAGGCACTATTTAGTATTTTTTATACCTATGTAATATTAAATCATGCTTTTAAAATCATTTTTTTAGACTTTTGCATTTGTAGAATGTATCACATTTTAGTAAGTATATATTATATTTAAAAGGTTTGGGAACTACTTTGCATTTCTTTTGTTTTCATAGCCTGTTCTCTCTCCCTCCCACAGTAGCAATAAATTGTAAACAAGTTTGTTATTGTTGTTTTTGCTGTATTTATTTTAAGATTTATATTCTGTCTGAGACTACTTTGTCTTCCTTCTACATCCAGGAGCATGAGAAGAGGTGTTGGAGTGTTGACTTTAATTTGATGGATCCTAAACTCTTGGCTTCAGGTTCTGATGATGCAAAAGGTACTGTTTGAATCACCTTTCTTTCCCTCCCACTCCCTTTATTCCTTTTACTATCAGAAATACAGATATTTATTGAAATTTATAGCAATCTTATGATTACTGATTGTTACAAAAATAACTGAACTCCAGAAATCTATATCTCTTTTGGATTGAAAGAAAAAGGGATATACTACATCTTCATTATTATATTTTCTGGATACATGCCACATGGTGACATTTTTTTTTCTGACACATTTAGACATCTTTGCATTCAGAATTATATTAAATTTCCAGTGTATGCTAAAATATTTGAATACAGTTAATCATGTTTCAAAGCAAAAATTCTACATCTCTTTTTGCCAATTTAATTGACCATTGCTGTTTTTTCTTGTATATTAATCTTTTTGTTGTTATTCATACTGTCCTGTTTGGCCTGGTTTTTCCTCCTATTAGATTTATAAAATCATATTAACAGTTATATTATCTTAGAGTTAGAAGCCTTAATTTCTTTGTGTGTTTTTCCCCCTTTTTTCCTATATGTAATTTCTAAAAGTGGTAGTTGTTGGGACCATTTTTACTTTTTTTAAATTTCTTTTTATAAATTACTGTATTAGTATTCCTAAAAATATTCTAAAGTTTTACTATGCCTCCATTCTTTTTTTTTTTTTTTTTTAAATATATTTTATTGATTTTTAACAGAGAGAAAGGGAGAGAGATAGAGAGCTAGAAACATCAATGAGAGAGAAACATCGACCAGCTGCCTCTTGCACACCCCCTACCGGGGATGTGCCCGCAACCAAGGTACATGCCCTTGACCGGAATCGAACCTGAGACCTTTACCAGATTCTACCACTGAGCCAAACCGGCTTTGGCTATGCCTCCATTCTTAATACAGGTTTTCAACCCCAAATGTACATAGTAATCACCCAAAGAGCTTTTTAAAAAACACTAATACATGGACCTACCTTATCCGGGTATTGTCCGTCCTGGATGGGACATTGAGACCAATCAAAAGATGAACGGGAAGGTTTTATTTCTGTTATTGTTAATGTTTGTTATTAATTCTATTATGCAGCCAGGATTGTGACCTATATCCTGAAAATATATTTTGTGTATGTATTCTGGTGTCTACAAGACATTTTTGTTTAAAAATAACAAGATGGTTGCTATGGTACCTCAAAGACAACTGCTCACCTTTCTGCTTGTGCTTTCATATCTGACCTGCTCTGATCAGTCAGCTTTCTTTTTTTCTCCCCATCATTACAAATCTCAGTATTTATCACTAGAATGAACTTAGTTATGAACTTGTCATGTTACCACTTATTTTACATTGAATATCTATTTGTTTTCTAATTATGAAACTAAGCTCTCTTCGTTTAAATATACTGTTCTTAAGTTGTTTAAAATTTTTGGTGCTAGTAAATCAAACTACTTTAGATTAAAAAAATACACAATTGTTTCTATGTTACAGAAGCATTTGCTAATGATTATTTACATATTTTTTGTTTTCCTTTATTCTTAGTGAAGTTGTGGTCTACCAACCTAGACAATTCAGTGGCAAGCATTGAGGCAAAGGCTAACGTGTGTTGTGTTAAATTTAGCCCCTCTTCTAGATACCATTTGGCTTTTGGCTGTGCAGGTAAGAACTACAAGCAGATTTGTCTTCTTGTAATGTTGGTTGAGTATCATGTCTAAGATAAAAGGGCATTTTAAAAACGAGAAACTTTCTTTATAGGTTTAAATTATGTTTTTATTGTTAAACTCTAAATTAGACATAAGCATTATGCCATCATTACTCATTTGTTGTTGTACCTTTATAATAATGTTTAAACCATTCAGTTATATTGTATATTATATATTGATTTTTTTTCTTACAGAAAACCAGTTATTTAGTTCAACAGTTACTTATTGAGTGTCTACTATGCACAAATTACCTATATAGTCACAGTGAATAAAACACTTAAAGTCTTGTATCTTGGAGTGCTTGCTAACATAGTAAATACTCTTAAAAATGTTTATCTTAATAATAGCAAAGAATGTTTTGCTAACGTTTTTTTTTTTTTAATCTTTATTGTTCAGATTGTTACAGTTGTTCCTTCCCCTTCTCCCCCCCATAGCTCCCCTCTACTCAGTTCCTACCCCACCCCATGTCCTTACCCCTCTCCCCACACTGTCCTCATCCATAGGTGTATGGTTTTTGTCCATTCTCTTCCTGTATCCTCCACACCTCATTCTTCCCAAGGATTGTCAGTCCACTTGCTTTCTATGCCTGATTCTATTATATTTACCAGATTATTCTGTTCATCAGAGTTTTTATTCACTTGATTTTTAGATTCACTTGTTGATAGATATGTATTTGTTGTCCATAATTTTTATCTTTACCTTTTTCTTCTTCTTTCTCTTCTTAAAGAATACCTTTCAGCATTTCATATAATACTGGTTTGACAGTGATGAACTCCTTTAGCTTTTTCTTATCTGGGAAGCTCTTTACCTGACCTTCAATTCTGAATGATAGCTTTGGTGGATAGAATAATCTTGGTTGTAGGTTCTTGCTATTCTTCACTTTGAATATTTCTTGCCACTCCCTTCTGGTCTGCATAGTTTCTGTTGAGAAATCAGCTGACAGTTGTATGGGTGCTCCCTTGTAGGTAACTTTTTTCTCTTGCTGCTTGTAATATTCTCTCTTTGTCTTTTGCTTTGCTCTTGGCATTTTAATTATGATGTGTCTTGGTGTTTTCTTCTTTGGATTCCTTTTGTTTGGGGTTCTGTATGCTTCCTGGACTTATAAGTCTATTTCTTTCACCAGGTAGGGGAAGTTTCCTGTCATTATTTCTTCAAATAGGTTTTCTTTTTTTCTTTATAAAAAAAAGTATTTTATTGAATTTTTAAAGAGAGGAAGAGAGATAGGGATAGAGAGTTAGAAACATCGATGAGAGAGAAACATCGATCACCTGCCTCTTGCACACCCTCTACTGGGGATGTGCCTGCAACCAAGATACAAGCCCTTAACTGGAATCGAACCTGGGACCTTTAAGTCCACAGGCCGATACTCTATACACTGAGCCAAACCGGTCAGGGCTGTTATTCGTTTAATGAGGACATTTAAAAATATTTTTTATTGATTTCAGAGAGTAAGGGAGAGGAAGAGAGAGACAAACATCAATAATGAGAGAGAATCATTGATTAGCTGCCTCCTGCACACCCCCTGCTGGGCATTGAGCCTGCAATCCAATTATCTGCACAACAGGGAATTGAACTCTGTGGCCACTGAGGCACATGAGCCTGGCAAGGACCTATTCTTATTGTGTAGAATAAGATAGAAAACTATTTTTCCTCCAGTTTATCTTCTCTAAAGCCAATTTGGGAGAACATTGTAAGACTAAAGTAAATAGAACCACTTGCAATCTGTGGCTTTAATAAAATATTAGAGTTGCTTGCATGCTAACTTGAAGCATCTTATAATTTTTAAAATTCTAATTAGTATAACAGAGAGGAAATATGGGTGTTTTTAAGGTTATTTCCTTTGAAATAATAATAATAGTTCTCCCCTCCCCAAATTAGTGGTATAAGTCAAAGATAAAATTAGTATTACTCTGTTTTAGAAGTGGCATTTATGTTAACAATATATTAACTGGGACAAAATAATGTTCCAAGAACAAATAAACAGGAATTTTGAAATATTCTATTTAACTGTGTTATTAGTAAACATTTTTAGCTTTGGTTACTGTGAACTCTGTTATTTTCACTAATCAGGTCACATACATAAGCACCATTTATTTTCCCATTTTCCATACTTTGTAGTTGTGATTTGGCATTTGATGATTCTTAGTCTTCAAAAGAAAAACAAAACCTTTTAAGGATTTGGGAGGATTTATTGATTTCCCTTACTTGAACATTTTGGAAGCTTCTCATTTTGCCTAAAGAATAAATACAGATTATATTGCTTTCTGTTCTAGGCCTTTTCTTGAACAGCTTCAGTATTCCTTAATGTTACTCATGTTGTTTATTTTTTAGCATATCCAGTCAAAATAATTTTTATAACGGTTCTTCTTGATTCTCAGTAAAGCTATCTGGGCTATCTTACATTTGTGGCTTAAAATATTATCTACATTTGAAATTGTTTATATTTAATTAAACAAACAGTATAAAATTATGTCCTCATTCTAAACTTTCATTTGTTACAAAGTTTAAATTCCCCTTGATCAAACATTATTAAAATACCTTCTCAAAGGTACTACTGTTTATAGTTTTACAGGTGTCTTTCTATAAATAAATAGCATTTCTTTCTTTTTTTTTTTTTTAATATATTGTATTGATTTTTTACAGAGAGGAAGGGAGAGAGAGAGAGAGCTAGAAATGTCGATGAGAGAGAAACATCGACCAGCTGCCTCCTGCACACCCCCTACCCGGGATGTGCCCGCAACCAACGTACATGCCCCTGACCGGAATCGAACCTGGGACCTTTCAGTCCGCAGACCAACGCTCTACCACTGGGCCAAACCGGTTTCTGCATACATAGCATTTCTTGAGGAGGAGGCCAATAAGTATTTTTCTTTACGTAGAAATATATGATTTTAAATCAGAATGCATTCTAAAAGTGAACATCTACACTATAAAAACACACAAATTTAGAATATTTTAGACCTCTAAAGTCAATTTATGGACTACCTTCCATTCTCCTCCTTGTTCTCCCAACATTCCTGTCACCGATATATAATTAGATCCTTTCAGGTTGAAAACCTGGTGTTTAGTTTAAGGATTATGACACCTAATTTAATTCACAATGTAGAGTTAACATGGAAAAACTTGAGTAAGGTAGATATGTAATTGCTCAAGGTGACTTTTACTATATTTTCGTATATCTAAGTAATGGGAAGCATTTTCAATGTGTTATATTTATAAATATGCCTTGTCTTTTACTAGTATACAGCAGTTTCCAGTAGATGATGCCTTTTCCTTTACATTTAAATGAATTGGATGTCTGAATACTTAATAAATCTTGATTAATGTCACAACGTTCATGAACATGTGTTTCAGTTATCTATACTACATAGATAATGAGGATGTGTGACTGAAGGACATTTTATTTTCAAGTTTCCATGTAATTTCAGTAGACTTAAATGGAAGTGGCGAGCATAAAGCCAATATTCACGAAACAAATTATTCTATTTCTTTGTAATAAATAAAATATTTTTTTAGAGTGCTAGAATCTAAAAACAACTTTGAAGCACCCAATAAATCTCTCATCTATTTATGTCTATCTTGCCTTCCAGCCTGTAATTAGCTCTCTAGCTAGATCTTTTAAAAGATGAGCTTCACAAGAATTTTATATTTATATTAAGTGCAGAGATATTTTAAAGTTAGGCATCTTTTACTCAGCTGTTACTAAAATTGAGTAATCACTACAAACATTTAGAAAACATGCAATACATGATACGATATCAAAGGAAACCATTAAAATAATAGAACCAAAGTTCAAAATTCAAACTATTATTAGGGTAAGGGGGAAGGAATACAATATTTGGCTAACCCAAAAGCAAACAAGGAAGGGAAAGTGGGAAAACATAGAAAACTTGGGGTAATTAAAAAAAAAAAAGAAATAAGCTCATAGATAGAAATTAAAATATATCTATAGTAAATGGAAATGGATTTAATGGGTCCAAATACTATAAAAGGCATGGATTAACCAGGCTAGTTAAAAATGTTCAGAATGCAATATTATACTCTTTATAAGAGACACATTTAAAACAAGAATAAGGAAAAGTAAATAAAAAGTTTTGTTGGGTGCAGTAGTAGATACCTGACAAAGATTATATTGCATAGGGGTTTGGAAAGTATGGCATTTTTAGACAATTGGTATGGGAAAATGACAGTGTAATTCTACCTCATGAAATACACAAAACCAATACCAATAGGTGATTAAATGACCTAAATGTGAGCAGCAAAACTATAAACTGTTTATAAGACAACATAAGAAAGAATATCTTCACAGTTTTGTTGCAGAGAATGCCTTAGATACAAGAACTGTAAACTTTAAGTGAAAGGTGGGTAAATTTGGCTATTATATAAAATATACTTTTGTTCATCAAATAACACCTGAAATAAACAATTTTTAAAAAGTCATTAATTGGTCAAAACCGGTTTGGCTCAGTGGTAGAGCGTCGGTCTGCGGACTGAAAGGTCCCAGGTTCGATTCCGGTCAAGGGCATGTACATTGGTTGCGGGCACATCCCCGGTAGGGGGTGTGCAGGAGGCAGCTGGTCAATGTTCTCTCTCATGGACGTTTCTGGTTCTCTATCTCTCTCCCTTTCTCTCTGTAAAAAATCAATAAAATATATTAAAAAGGAAAGTCATTAATTGCGATGAGATATTTAGGACACAGATTCCGAATATATGAAGAACTCTTTCAAATAAACAAATAATAAATATACTCTACAGCCTTATCACTCAAAGTGTAGTCTACCCAGAGGAACATGAGATCCAGAAATAAGCTCAAAACCATCACACATTGTAAAATGATACAGTCAACAGTTTGTCAGTTTCTTTAAAAGTTAAACACAAAATTATTACATTTCCCAGTAATTACATTTTATAGGTATCTCCTCAAGACCTGAATATATGTCCACAGAAAGAGTTGAATGTGATTGTTCAGAGCAGCATTATGCATGATAACCATAAAAAAAGGGAAGCAAATATCTGTCTACTGGTAAGTGGATAGACAAAATTGGTATATCTATACAGTGGATACTCTTCCACAATAAAAATGATTAAACTGCTTGACACATATTAAAACATATATGAACTTAAAATACATTATGTGAAGTGTAAGAAACTTTGCAGGGAACCACGTAGTATAATGATTCCATTTATATAAATTGTCCAGAAAAAGCAAATTTATGGAATTTAGGTATAGTGATTACCTAGGGCCATAGTCGGCAAACTGAGGCTTGCGAGCCACATGTGGCTCTTTGGCCCCTTGAGTGTGCCTCTTCCACAAAATACTATGGCCTGGGCAAGTCTATTTTGAAGAAGTGGCGTTAGAAGAAGTTTAAGATTAAAAAATTTGGCTTTCAAAAGAAATTTCAATGGTTGTACTGTTGATATTTGACTCTGTTGACTAATGAATGAGTTTGCCGACCACTGACCTTAGGGCAGTGGATGATAAATAGGCTTGAGGGATCTTACTGGATGAGGAAAATATTCTAAAACTTTCATGGTGATGGTTGCATCACTGGGTAAATTTAGTGAAAATCACTGAATTTTGTATTTAAAATTTTTTGATAGTGTCTCTCAAGAAAGTGTTTTTACAAAAACAAATGTTGGAAATAAAATTATGTAGCATTATGTTTAGCCAGAAGCCCCAAATATTTATATTTCTTTTTTAATAAAGCCATCAAAATTTAGAGGTTTCTTTTTAAACTTCCAGTTATTTTGAACCCTTAATTCTCTATTTCTAGAGCCAGGATCACAGGAACTGTCAGTAGAACTCCCTTTCACACTAACATTGCCATATGTATATGTTTACATTTTTTAATGCAACCATATTTTCTTAGATTAATAAAAGAAAACCCATTATATCTTTCTTATCTGAAAATGAGCTATAGCCCTTAAACTTCTGGCTATTAACAGGTTGACATTATCTGTGAAACATTTGATGCAAAACACCAAAACCAATTAAAATTAGCTTTGCTTTCCATTTCCATTTATTGCATTTTTTCTCTGTTTTGTTTTAGATCACTGTGTCCACTACTATGATCTTCGTAACACTAAACAGCCAATTATGGTATTCAAAGGACACCGAAAAGCAGTTTCTTATGCAAAGTTTGTGAGTGGTGAGGAAATTGTCTCTGCGTGAGTATTACTCTTCAGAGGTTGAACTGAACACAGCTCTGTCATTTTGTAACGTTACCCTGCATATATATGTGTGTGTGTGTGTGTGTGTGTGTTTGTGTGTGTGTGTATGTATATGTATGTATGTGTATATATATATATATATATATATATATATATATATATATAATAACACTGTGGTGGTGTGTGTACTTTTAAAAAGATTTTTAATAAGATCTAATTAAAATACATGCATATTCTGATCTTTATTACTCACTTTAATATGTTAGTTGTGAATAAATCCTGATTATACTAATTTTTAATGTCTCCCTTTTAAATATTTGAACTTCAGATTGAATTTCAGCCACTGCTTCTCTATAAGAAGAGACAACATAGTTGAGGGAATAAAATGAGAAGTTTTTTATTTGAGTCAACTAATGTTATTCTATGTATATCTATGTTGCAGTATTGTGTTTTTATTTTGTTACATTTGATTGACTTTTGATTACATGTTATTTGATCTCTATGATTTTTATATGTGTTTTGAAGAGAACTTATATAATTTATATTTTGCATATCAATACAACTCAAGAGTTGAAAAATAAATCAAATAAGTGGAATAATTGTATCTATGAAATTAGTACAATTCCCAATAGAACTTTCTCATTTAATGGTGGTGATATGGTTGTACCAATGATTAATGTTTATTAATGCCTAGAGACCATTGAAAGCATTTTAAATGAATTAATTTAATTTAAAAATATTGTATAAGATTCATAAAATCTTATAAGGTTTTTATAGGATAAGAATCATTATATTTCATATTTAACTGATGAAAAAAATGCAGGCCCGAGAGGTTGTATAACTTTCCCAAGGTCAAAAACAAATTATCGGCATACTGAGCATTCTAACAGTCTCGTTTCAGATTTTGCATTCTTACCCACCAAACTAGAGTGCCTCTAATTAGTAGTGATGAATTTCATGCCATGAAATCTTAAATATGTTCTAACTTTTTGTGTTTACTTTAGCTCAACGGACAGCCAGTTAAAGCTATGGAATGTAGGGAAACCATACTGTCTACGTTCCTTCAAGGGTCATATCAATGAAAAAAACTTTGTAGGCCTCGCTTCCAATGGCGATTACATAGCTTGTGGTATGTGAAATCATCTTTTCCTAAACATTTTTAACAGGTATCTGTCACCAAAATGCATTCAGTGGAACTATACTTATTCCACATAGTGGAATATAATTAATCCCAGATTGGGCTGCCTTAGTCCTTCCCTTCTCTGTGGAACACTATCAAATCAATGTTTGCTAAATCCTAATTTTTGAGACATTATTTGTGTTCTTGAGCTTGATATTTATTTTCCCCTATAAAGCGTTTTCTTCGTTAAGCAGTCTATTTGGGTAGTTTTTATCTGATCTTTGGTGCTTTTATTGTTGACTAGTAGCCCGTTGCAGAAAAATTCCTGCAATAGGGCTTCCTGCCGAGCTCTCCCCCTGCCCGCCTGCTTCTCTTCCTTCTCCCTTATCCTACTTGTTTGCCTCTCCACAGCTTTGTTCCCTTCTGCAGCACTTGGCTTCTTTCTAAGCTGTCTTGATATGAAAATTAACCGCCATCATGGTTGGGTTAATTTGCATACTTACCCTGATTGGTTGGTGGGTGTGGCTTGGGCAGAAGTGTGGTGAATTTGCATATTATTCTTTTATTAGGATAATTTATATATTTTTTAAATCAGAAGTAGAAAAATCAAATTTAATATTATTCAATTCTCTAATACATCTAATGCCTGAAGAAATGAACTTTCAATACCTTCAAATGACTTGGCCTTTATTGAATAAAATTGACTCTCCACATGTATGTGAACCTAAACTCTTCCAAAAGCCAGTCTTTGCATAATTATCCACCTTTTCATAGACTGCTCAAAAATGTAGGTTTCTAGACTGCTTACCTAATAGAGTAATGCCTTCATTAGGGAATGGGAAATTAGTTTTGTAGGTTATTAAAATTTGCCTTCACAGGTGCAATAACTTTCTTTTTCCTCTCTAGATAAAATCGTTCTAAATGTAATTAAAGATTCATGCGAAATTAACAATGTTTTTATTCTTCTGGAGGGAGACCTTTCCTAGAAATGATTTTCATGTAGTAATGTCAGCCTTAAGAATTCCCAATGTTATATCATTTAACAGTGATTATTTCTTTAGATTAGTAAGGTGTATTTTTTCCTATGAATTCTTTTCTGACATGATTCCCAAGAAGTCCCATGCTCTGTTGTTTCAAGTTTAACTATAAAAGATCATTAGTTTTGGAGTTTAAACACTGAGGTATAAATTACTTATGAATATGCTGTCCTAACTCGCCCCATTCTAAAAAATTGTTTATTTTTTAATTTTTTTAGGAAGCGAGAACAACTCTCTTTACCTGTACTATAAAGGACTTTCTAAGACTTTGCTAACGTTTAAGTTTGATACAGTTAAAAGTGTTCTTGACAAAGACAGAAAAGAAGATGATACAAATGAATTTGTTAGTGCTGTGTGCTGGAGGGCACTGCCAGATGGGGTAAGTTTTCATCCCACCTTGGTGTTCTATACAATGCTTTATGTTTATATATACACAGGTGAGTTTTTTAAAGTTTAAAATATAAATTGATATGTGATATGCATTTTCTTTTTTGCTTAGCCTTGCATCAATCACTAAAAGAAACAATGATTTTAGGTAGTAATGGAAATGTCGCTAATAGAATAGTGTCATACTGACATAATGTTTCTCTTATGTACCTATATCATTTTGTGTATGCCTCTGTTATAGCCTTTAAAACTTTGTCTCTATATCTATTCTATAAACTTGGAAATTTCTCCAGTGTATACACTATATCTTATTTTTATATTCTTTTTTCTTTTTTTAAATATATTTTTATTGATTTCAGAGGGAAGGGAGAGAGAGAGAGATAGAAACATCAGTGATGAGAGGGAATCATTGATCTGCTTTCCTGCATGCCCCACACTGTGGATCCAGCCCACAACCTGGGCATGTGCTCTGACCGGGAATCAGACCATGACCTCCTGGTTTATAGCCTGATGCTCAACCACTAGAGCCATGCCAGACAATCTATATCTTATTGTTCTTTTTGTTTGTTTTTAAAAAAATATATTTTATTGATTTTTTACAGAGAGGAAGAGAGAGTGATAGACAGAAACATCGATGAGAGAGACATCGATCAGCTGCCTCCTGCGCACCTCCTACTGGAGATGTGCCCGCAACCAATGTACATGCTCTTGACCAGAATCGAACCTGGGACTCTTCAGTCCGCAGGCTGAGGCTCTATCCACTGAGCCAAACCAGTTTCTGCTATATCTTATTGTTCTTAGTGATTACATACAGAATATGCTCAAAAGATATTTAACTGACCAGATAATATATTAGGAAGAAAAAGGTTTGATGTAGATAAAGAGAAGTGGCCTACAACTAATTAAATTCTATTTCAGGACAATTACTTTCTACAAAATATATTTTTTCAAAGATATTTAAATACATTGAATTTCTTAAGAAAGTTGTACTTCTAGGTTGCAAAAAAAATGTTTTCTCCAACTTGTCACTTATTTAAAGTACAAGCCTTCTAATTAAGTGTATGAAGAAATAACTTATCTTGATTTTTATAAATAGTAATCATTACTTAGTGTCATCTTTTTTAAAAAAATAGCTTTTTAGTTGCTTACTTGGTTGGTTTTATTGTTAACACAAAAATTCTTATTGAGTACATTAAGATATTTGAGTTCCAGGTATGGTTTAACTTTAATTAGATATACTCCATTGCTATATTGTTTAAAGTTCTCTTACTCAATTTTCAGTATTGGTAATGGCAGACTAAGTGATTTGGACCAATCTTTTCTCTAAATAGAAATAGAAAAGAGGGAGCGGGTGTATGTATTTTAAAAACAAAAGCCTGTTTGAAGGCGTTGGAAAGTAAACAAAATAGAAAAGATTTACCAGCCTAGAAATGTGATCCTGACTTTTGAGTATACTTTTTGCCTGGGAGCATTTGCCAATTTTGGTAGAGTGGTTGAGAGCACTTATGGTAGTTTCAAAGGGGCATAGGAATTGTGAGCTTGATCCACAGGTATTGGTGTCTAGTACTTAACCACTATGGAAGATAAGCCTCACAGTGATTGCAGTTCAACTTCAAATCATATCCTGAAATTAAAGGGAGATGATTCTGGATTGCTAGATCCACAGGATGCAATATAAAATCCTTTCTGACAGATCTTCTATGGAAGATCATCTGAAAACTTCATTTGTTTTTTTAAATTGCAAATGCAGTAACTAGGGCACAATAAAAAATAAACAGACCTAGGTAAAAGCAAGGCAGCATGAATAAATCCAGCAGAAGCAATGGAAAGTAGAAATAAGTCACAGTATCTCTGGATATTGGAGTTATCAGACATTGCTTGAAAATACCCACACTGATGAGATTAAAGAAAATATTGAAAATTTTAACTGGGAACTAAACACTTTTTAAAATGAAAATTCTAGAACTGAATATATAGAGTTAACAAAATTAAGAACACAGGATGGGTTGAATGGAAGATCAGACACAGTTAAAAAGAGATTTAATGAACTTGTAGTTAAATTAGAAGAAAACATACAAAAGTAAACATGGAGAGACAAAGTGATGAAAAAAATACAGAAAGAAAATATAAGATGAAGCAAGAAAGGTTAATATATTTAGTAGGAGACCTAAAAGGAGAGATGAGAAATAATACCGCTGAAGCAAATATTAGAAAGGATTGTTGTTAAGAACTTGACAAAATTGATGAAAGACATCAAAGTAGAGATTCAGGAAGCCTTTGTATCCCAGAGAATAAATGACTTGCAATCTACAATGTGAGTATAGATTTAATATTTAACACAGACCTTTTGCAGACCTAGGCCTGCCTGAAAATTTAATTTTGGTCTGTCTTCTCATAGCACTATTTTATGGAAATAAGCTGACTTTAGACAAATACATGCTAGGAGCTAGTCATCTTAAACTTACTATGAAACTTCATCTGTGGTATTTCATCTGGAGTGAAAGAACTGTGAGTCCTTACATCTATTCAAAGTGAACACTATAAGATGGCAGGAAAACAAGGCACATCTCTGTATGGGGGTGAACCACTTGCACCTTAACTGTCCTTGGCTACTTTTTGTGTGAGTTGGGGAGAGTTCCAAGAAACTATGCCTGTAAATAGTTGCTTGGCCCTCTGATGAGTTTGAAGGTGCTGTGCATGCTGAATTTCCTATCCTATATTCCTCTATAAAGCTATCTAACTTATTGCTGGATTAAAGTTAGTTATATCTGATACTGTGATCCCCCTCCTGGTGGTGGGACAATCATACCTTGAATACGAATGAGGATTCTTAAAAGAAGGCATCACCCAGGAACTTGCTTTGTTTCAAATAAAAAGATTTAAAGTTCTGTAACTCATTTCATTACTACTTAAGATGTGTTTTAAGTATCCTATATAATAAAAAGCTAATATGCAAATTGTCTCCTCTACCATGAATTTGACCAAGGGACAGAGCCTGCCAGCCAGCTGCCTGGCCGACACCACCCCCAATTAGCCTCCACACCCTGGCCAACCTCCAGCGCCCCCTCCCCCTGACAAGCTGGACCCCACCTGTGCATGAATTCGTGCACTGAGCCTCTAGTGATCTTTATAAAAAAAAAAAAAAGCTTTATTTTCTTATTTTAGATGAGGCAGAAGGTGTGAAAGACTCTTTTGTTCATTTATTCAACAAATATGTGCAGTCACAGTTTCAGATCCTAAGATAAACTGTGAACAAAACTGTAAAATGTTATGGCCTTCATAGGAGTCTTACAATTTTATGTGCTGGAGAAGACAGAAAACAAAGTAAATAAATTGTTGTATTAGAAGGAATGAGTGCTTTGGAGAAAAAACACAAAGCCAAAAAGTGGCAGAGTGCTGGAGTAGGGCGTACTGGAGTAATTTTCAGTTGGTGGTGACAGAATGCCTATCTGAGCAGCTGACTTAGAGCAAAGACTAGAGGAGATGAAAGCATAATCCATGTTGAAATATAGAAGAGTTTTCCTGGTGAAGCAAACAGTTCTTTAAAAATGTGATTAATGTTCAAGGAACAGAAAGAAGGCAGTATTTTGCTGCTCTACAGTGAGCTAGGTGGAGAGCAGCAGATATTTCAGAATGGTGAGGAAGAACCATTTCAGTACAGCAGTGTCAGGACTTTTTTTGGCTATTACTGGGAGTGAGTTGGGAACCAATGTAAGATGTTCATCTTTTCCACTTCCTCCCTTTCTCCCTCTCTTCCTCTCTCCAGTCTCCCTCCCTCTCTCTTTTCCTCTCTAAGCATGTCTTTGGGTGAAGATTTTTTTTAAAAAGAAAAAAAACAAACGTGGCTTGGAAGTTAACTGTGTTATCACCTATACTATACAAAATTATAACCATATTAGGTAAAAACATTCTTTTCAGTCATATATTCTTCCTGAAATATATTCTTTCTGTTTTTCTAACAAAATTTTATGTAATGAAACACTTATTCTAAGCTGTTTTTAATTAAAATTTTTTATTCTTAAGATCTTTTATTTACCTAAACCTCTCAGCATTTCTATCCATTAAAAATATTTGCTGAATGAATTAATATAGTGCCTTGTACTATTGTGTTCCTTTCACAAATTTCTTGCTAATCTGCAAACTCCTTGAAAAAAGCATCATAGCATGTTGAGTAAGAAAGAGCACAGATTGGAACCTGTGGACCAGGCTGCCTAGGTTCCAATCATATTGCCCACTTAGTATGTCTGTTATGTTGCTGAATTTCTTTAACTGCACTGTGCTTCAGTTTCCTGTCTACAAAGTGCTGATGATAATAGTAACTTGCCTCTTAGTGTTTTTATATAGTGTTTAGAATAGTTTTTGGCATATAATAAGAGCTATGTAAGTGTTTGCTATTAACATCATTCAGTTTTTAATTACTTCTAGCACCAAGCAGATTGTTGCACATAATGTGTAACTAATATATAATTTTTATAATGTGTGATACAGTCCTTAAGATTTAGCCTTTATTCTGTAAGTTGTATAATTAGTTAAATAGTAATTTTTGAAACTAAAGAAATTTTGGAGATGCTTCTATATAATAGTCACTGAAAACTCATCAGGACTATATTGATTTTAAAAAACAAGTTTTCCAACATGAACATTTATTGGTACCTATATAATCCATATGTATAAAAGGCTAAGCGACTGGCCAGCCAGCTGGGATATGTATGATACACACTGACTACCAGGGGGCAGATGGTCAACGTAGGAGCTGCCATGTGACAGCAACTTTGCAGAGTGCCCTCTCACATTCCCGGACCCCTCCTAGGGGGATGCCAGACTGCCAGTTTCCGACCCAATCACCACAGGCCAGGCTGAGGGACCCCACCTGCTGGAGGGATCCTGCTCCTATGTAGATGCCCTTTGAGCTGCAGTGCTGCCCCAGGTACGGCCGCGGGAGGTTTGCTCCAGGGTGTTTCTGGCCCATCTTGCTCCGCCAGGCTGGCCACC